ACTGCAACAAGTTCAAGGTAACGATAAACACAGAGTTACCATACCTAAATAAGTTAGCACACAGCATAACTTTCACTTAACCACTAGAGGTTACAACAAAATGCACAACAAAAGAATAAAGTGCTAGGACTAGGGCTGGGTATCGTTCAAAAATTTTCGATATCGATACCGATACCTTGACTTGAATACCAGTTCCTGAACGATACTTTTTTCTATACCAATTTTATGAAATCAATTTTAACAAGATTACATTATCTAAAAAAAAAAACTTTGGTTTTATTTTTTTGATGTTTGATGTTTATACATACTCAAAGACTCATCTCCAGAGCCACTGCACAAAGGAACAAAATGTACAATAAATCATAAATCAGTGCAAATAGTTTTTACATGGCCAAAACACACATTAGACGGCAATCGGAAGTTATTACAAACACTCGATGGTGGTTTAAAGAGTTATGAGTTATGAGTAAAAGCGGAATATAAATCTTATTTATTGTCTGATGTAGCATGATGCAGTTTGCATGAATGGTTTTCATTTTAAAACATAAACGCACCAGTGTAAATGTAGCCTTGCATCTAAGGGGGCTGGGATGCATTCACACTACAGCCTCACATGTGCGCCACATCTCTGAGTGTAACCGATGTAAACTAGTAGGTGTGTTCGACTTGAGGCGGACTGACTGTGCAGACTGATCGGTGTATTACAGGACCACGAGAGCTAAAGAGAGCAGACTGCTCCGTGCGCTTTCGAATCGCTCTCGCGGATGTCAAACACTGATCGATCTGCGCCGCACCTCTTCTAGTCGAACACACCGGCTAGTGCTGCAGGCTTATTGGCTCACTGACGCTGATGAGATTAACCCCTTAGGTATTGAAATTTGGTACAGAACAACGAGACGTTTTTCGATACTCGATGGTATCGAGGCATTTCGGTCGGTGCCTAAAAAGTATCGAACTCAATACCCAGCCCTATGCATTATTCCATAGCAGGGATGTCAGAAATCCTTTAAATACAGTGTCAGTTGCTCAGGGATGTGTTGATTCTAGATTACTACTAACACAACCGGTCCTGTTACACATGAACACACTGGCAATCAGATTTGTGAAGGAGACGTCATTTTACAGAAAACTGAAGCTTTATTCACTGGCAGTGAATTGTAAATTGCGACTGTCTTTCTGCCTTGTATTAGATTAGAACAGTGATATTCTTTTTACATACTTCCAAATGCTTTCAAGGAAGGCAAGAATAATGTTTCCTGATCACAAATTTCTGACACAAATGCTTCAGTGTCGTTTTTTTAAAGTGCTTTCTTTCTAGACAAATCATTGAACAGCTTGTCTGCATTTGATGTGTTTCTCACTGCAGTATTGACTGGCTGGTGCTTTTAATGTTTTATTCTGAGTGTTGAATTGACACCGGATTGAGTTCTCTGTCTGGAATGAAGTCTTTCTGTATGGCAGTTGTATTTTTAGTGGATCTTGTCTTGGCTCAGTGACCTTTCTGAGTCATGTCTTGGAGAATTCTGCTTTTTGGTAAGAATTATCCAGTAAATACCCTGAAATTTTGCTGAATGGGTGCAACAAAATCTATATCATTAGTTGGAGCACTAGTTAGAGATAAGTGATTACAAGTACTTGGTATTGGTGTAAATGGGCAATTATAGCCAAAACTATTTTCTAACCGTTCACTTTTTCACTTCAGAGTAGTATATACAGTTATGTTCATGCTAAATTAATAAACTCATTAGTATTAAAAACAGTACGTGAGGATCCCTAGTTGATTTAATAAAGTTGGATTAGTCTCTCTGGAGCACAGCCGATAGGTCTTGCCATGTGACCGCCTGTGCTTTAGGAGTGGAAGAATTTCATTAAGTCTTGGTGAACATACTGCGCTACATCACGGGTCATGTGGTCTGCTTGTCGAAGCTAATAGTGTGGAAAGGCAAAGGAGGCAAGTGAAATGGAAAAAAGCAAGGTACGGATAGGTTACATTATAATTTAAAATGAAGGATAAAGAGAAATCAGCTGTACTTAAGTCATGAAGCCAGCGTGAATAATGGGAAAGTGTTAATAAGGAGATGACCTGAATGTAGGGCATGATAATTTGTGTTTGCCTGTGTGTTGACGTGTATTTTGAAGAGTGCTCAGGGGGGCGTGGTGGGCTTCACGCAGCAGGAGGGCAGCTGTGTCTGCAGGCTGCTTATGAGAATCACTAGAGCAGAAAGATTTGGCCAACATATGGCAGGCAGTGACTCTTACAGTGCAATCTCACCATAAACCAAAACAAGAATTTACTTGCACTTAATAAATAAACAGCCCTAAATATGTTGCCTTGCCCTAGTAAATAGAGAGACAGGGCTCCCGTTACATATATACTGTATAAAATTGTGTTGCACTCTAAGCCTGGCCTTCAGTAACATCTGTGACAGTAAAGACATTTATAATTTCACAAAAAATATATATTTCAAATAGGATTGCAAAGAAGCTGAAAATTTCCGATAAATTACAGGAAACATTTCCAAAAATGTCCACCCCTTTGCAACCCTAATTTCAAATAAATGCTGTTCTTTTGATCTTCTATTCATCAGATAATTAATAAAAAAAGGTTTTCAGAAAAATAGTATGCAGTTTTCAACATTGATAATAAGAAATGTTTCTTCAGCACCAAATCAATCATATTAGAATGATTTTTAAAGGATCATGTGACACTCAAGACTGGAGCAATGACTGTTGAAAATTCAGCTTTGACATCACAGATATAAACTACTTTTACTAAAGTTTATAGACAAATTTATGTTGGCTTAAGAAAGCCTAGCTTGAATGTTTGAAGTAGTTTAAAAAGCTTGACATTTTAAGGGTAAAATATTACATTTTAAAATATATTAAAATAGAAAATTATTTTAAAATGTAATAATATTTCTAAATATAATTTTTTACTGTATTTTTGATCAAATAAATGCAGCATAAGAGACTTATTTCAGAAAAAAACAAAAAAATCTTACCAGCCACAAACTTTTGAATGGTGATATATATTTTGTTGGTTTTGTTTTGTTTTCACCTTTTTTGTTTTTTTTTGACTGTTTTGCACATGCTTTTGTGCATAATATAGGTTTTTACACAGCTCATGACTCACCAATGATGTTGTTTCAGCGGAAATGTGTGATTACTGCGTTAAATTTGATATATCATTCAGATTTTAATGTAATATTTGGCTATGGAAAGCACAAAAAGTGCAGGTTTTCATTAGCATATTCTTGGCATGCAGAGAGTGGATGACTAGCCTTTAGCAGGTGCGAAGCTAAGACACTAACCTCATGTGACACATGCATCCAGGATTTACAGTAACCCTTCAGTGCTCTCTCCTGAAAGTACTACATGCTAAACTAGATGTCTGTGTAACATTTTTCCCACATGCATTGGAGTTGATCAATCTTTTCCAGTTCATGATGTTGTCAACAGCTAACCGATTGTACTAATTCCAGTGTGTTTCCTGTTCATAGACAGAAATAAGTACATATGATGGTCTTGTAGGTCTCTGCTGGTTTTCTTGCTTCATTTGCCCCCTTTCTCTCTTCTGTCTCCTTCCCCTTTCTCTCTTTGTCTTGTGTTCTTTCCCTTTGCACGGTTGCCGCTTCCTCCCGTCCTGTCCCATTCTGTCCTGTCCTCTGGTTGTGTGCAGCATTTGAAAGCACCCTCTACACTCCTCCACCTCCCGAATACAACAAGACCACCTCCTCCTCATCCGTGTCTCCTTCAACACTCAGCTACCCACCACCGACACCATCGCCCTCCACAGCCACTCCTCCAACCCCACCCCTGCGCCACTCTGCCTCCCGATTCGCCACGTCGCTTGGCTCTGCCTTCCACCCGGTCCTGCCTCATTACGCCACCGTACCTCGCAGACAACCTGCCCCGCCCCCACCACCGCCCCCTGCCCCAGCTCCTCCTCCA